AATGTTTTGTAATCTGAAGTTTCAAAATGTGAAATAATGAATGCATAGATTTATACATGCTTTGGAATACAATCTGAGGTTTGGGTGGAAAACTGGCATCTTGTCAAATAAAGTGCTATCAAATATGAAAATTTAATTAGTGTAATGATTTTAGGATTGTAAATCAAGGTATCCATAAACTGGAATATGGATCCGTCAGGCCAGGTGCTTGGCCGGGAAAAGATGCCATCGTGGATACTGGGCCGTACAAGGTACGCAGGTCCCTGCCAGACAAACCCAGGTCAGGAGGGACCATTCCAACGCTTCTCATCTAGATACCTGAGAGCAGCAAAGGAGGCTTCAAATCTGTTTCTTCAAGACTTAAAAACCAGAGGTCTCTTGCCAAGTTTATTTGCAAATTCCCCAGGATCGGCTGTGGGCTCAGTTACAGAAGTTTGGGGGCAAAGGGGTGGTGTGAACACCATGATCTGAAACGGTGCACCTGGATCTCAGGATCACTGGCCATCCCACTGTTCGGGAGACTTCCCCTAGACGCGCTGAAAGAGCACACCCAAGGAGGACAAACATTAGGGTGAAATCTGCGTGGTACTCCTATTAACGATTACAAATTTTATGTTCTCATGGGTGCACTTGATAGGATTCCATTTTCTGCCCAAAACACCATGCACGAGAACAACAGTCCCAAACACCTACTCCCCCTTCTGCCAAAGGCCGGTTCCATTACGCAGCGGATCTCCCCCATCCTGGCCCCACAAAAATACTCCCAGGCCTGCCTCACTGGCACTGAACAGGCTATGTGGCAAGAAAAGCAGCAACAGGTACTCACTGCCAATCTAGGATTTGACCTGGTCTCACAAGTGATAATTACAAAAGAAAGCCACATAAATGGGGACACCGCCCACTCCTGGTTCATGTCTCAGTTGTTACTGTATTGAATAGGATGGATATTTCTGTAACAAATCTGAGAGGTCTGCTGAATTGGAAGCTCACTCAGAAGAAATCCTGATTCACTGCAACAGTAAAACCTTCCCTTGGGTTGCCTTATTTTTTATTTTTATTTTGTGCTTTGTTTCTGGTATCAAAGGGCTAACAAAACAACTGTGCCCCAAATGACTTTATTTTAGGCTTCGGAGTCAAAATGGAAACTGTGTGACATTTTGGCAGCTCTCGGCCTAAAGCTGGCCAGTACGCTCTGCCCTTATTCTGAGAGAATGTGTGTTTCTAATATTTTTGTTCAAGAGTATCATAAAGGTAGGCATTTTAAAAATTAAAACAAATTATAAAAAAATGCTGTCTTGGATTGAAGGGCCCTCAGTTTAGGACGGTGCTAAATATACAAAAAATAGGTATTTTTCCAACCGAAATGAGAATCAGTCATGAAAGTATTTTCAGAGGGTGGATTACAAAAAAACAAAACAAACAAACAAAAAGGCCCAACAGACTAAAGGCATATCAAAGTCATTCTATCAACTGTTTTCTGAATTAAATGGGTGACTCCTGACTTTTCATAATCCACTCCTACCTTGTTTATTATTGGGTTTGTTTGTATGCATTTGACTGTCTGTTGACCAGAATCCACCTCCCCACATGTACAAAAAGGCTATTGTACAATCATTTAAAAAAATGATTTTACTGCCACATTTAATGTCAAATACTATGTAACAGACATTGAAAGACATCAGAAACTTTTGCTGTATGAATCCAAAAAAACACAGCCTCTGTGCTCAGGGAGGGGAAAGACTTTCCCACAGGAAGCTGAGTGCATTTATTACTTCTGAACAGCCACCCCACATCATTTTGCCCTGAGGTGCTGTTTTTTTTTTTAACTTCATTAAGACGTTTTACTTCACAAAACAGATTTATTATTTATTATTTATGTGATGCTTTGGTGGAACACATTATTGCCAGGCCCACCATTCTAAGATCTGTCAGGCTTTACTTAACCTAAATATAAAAATTACAGATTACTGAAATTTAAACTATTATTAAAAAAACACATTTCAAAGAATAAGAGAATAGTTATAGGCCCCCATTTGTCTCTTAGGTCCTGTTTTCCTTGAAAACACACAGAGATGATTGATTCCATTATCTTTCTACTGATAAAAGTAGAACTTGGGCTCAGCTATTGTTAGTACTAAGCACAACACAACATGCCCCGCAGTGCTAAAATAATTTAAAACCACAAAACTTAAAAGTTACCAGTATTCTTTTCTCATAATGGCCTCAAGTAAGTGCTCTGCCTTTGGTCAAAGGAGAGTTTCTTGGGTTTTAATTACACAAGGCAGATCTAATTATAGAAGTTGCTGTTAAGAGTCCACAATGAAACTTCTCCCCCTGCATTTGGTGACGGTATTAGCGGTCTGGGACACTTTTCGCAAATAATAACTCAAGAGAAAATTCCGTTTTATCAAAACACAATGGCACAGAATAAGAAAGGAAGTTGTGCAGGGAACAAAAGTGGCAGTGGGAAACTGGAGAGAAGAATTAAAGAAAGCACGCGCTCTCTTTGACCAGCCTAGGCACCGGCGTGCGAAGAGCATGCATTTCTGGGTAAGGCGAACAACACAGACCTTAGGAGCCAGTTTGCTCCTAAGGGGTATACCCCCCATATCTGACTTAAAAGGACTACATAAAATAGAGGTCCTATTACGCCACAGTAACATATTCTTAACAGTTAGTTCTCAAATTAAACCCTTCTCCAATACCCACATGTAATTATTGGTGGTGGTTTTCAATATCTGAGCTATCCCAATGAACCAACGACTAATACCACATTGTTCCAATTTACTAAATGCCTTGCTTTCCCACATTAAATTATTAGCCAGGAAATGGAAAGTATGAAGGCTAAACCCCCCCTGGTGTCTGGAGAAGCTAGACCAGGAGAAAGCAGTTGCTGGAAACAAGAAGGCTGCACCCTCCCAGTTCGCTGCCTCAGGAGTGGCTTGGGGGAGGCTGGGGCCAAGGGAGGCTCCAGATCACAATCTGAGGCCCTCCAGCCTCCCTTCGGGTTTTGACGCAGGTGTTGGAAAAGTAAGGACTTCAGTTACACACTTATACAGTTTTTAAGTGCAAACGTGATTTTATAATTAAAGCCACACAATTAGGACTGACGCTCAGGATGGCAGCCTATGTAGCCTCTAGAAAAGGCTTAAGAAGAAAAGTGGGAAAATAAACAAAATAACCCACCATGTTATTTACCAACCTATGTGTCTAGTTGCTAGATTCCACAGACTGCTCTGATGATGCAGTGTGAGCATGTCGGATTTATTTATTTATTTTAGGGAGAGAGAAAGTGCGCCCGCGCACGCAGGAAGAGGGGCAGAGGACGAGGGAGGGAACCCTCAAGCAAACTCCCTGCTGAGCAAGGACCTGGGGCTGGGGCTCGATCCCACGACCCCAGATCATGACCTGAGCCAAAACCAAGTGCCCGCCGCTCAACAGAGCCACCCCAGCACCCCAAGTGTAGGCATTTCTACAAGATTTTTTATTTGAGTAGAGTGGACACACAGATTACATTAGTTTCAGGTGTACAACATAGTGATTTGACATCTTGATGTAGTCATTCTTAACGTCAAGGCCACTGGGCCATCATCTTACGACCCTAACCCTTTAGAAAGAAGATACACAATATTCAACACACATATGTAATTTCTATGTATCACTTCTCCCAAATCCTTAAGACTGTCTTTTCTGGTTTTTGTTTTTTTAAAGATTTTATGTATTTGAGAGAGAGCGGGAACACAAGCAGGGGAGCGGCAAAGGGAGAGAGACAAGCGGGCTCCCTGACGGGGAGGCAGCCCAATGCCGGGCCTCCATACAGGACTCGATCCCAGGACCCTGGAATCACAACCTGAGCTGAAGGCAGACACCTAACCGACTGAACCTCTCTTAATGAGCACTTTCTTCTAGGAATGTCATGCCGTCAAAGCAAAGATGACAATTCATGGCTACTGAGCCTCCTCTATGCTTTTCTAGAAAAGCAGGTAGAGTTCCATTTCCGTATCCTCAGGTAAAAGCAATTGCTAAGTCAGTTCTCCAACTTCACTTACCAATTTCAGGACTAATCATTTAAACTGAAGCTGATCATTTTTTCTTAATTTTCATTTATTGTAAGTATCTTTCTAGAAGCCAGTGCCAACTACATGAGTTCTTCTCAACATTATTTTACTTATGTTAATATGGAAGTACAAAAGCAGTTTTAATGCCCCTTTACAGGAAAATGTGTAAACTCCTGTGACTTACCGAGATACAAAATGGAATCACTATACCATCCATTGAAGATGATCACGTTTGGCCATTATTTTCCAGCATGTAAATAAAAATACTAGTATTTAAGTATCCCCTAGAAATCTGGTTGCATCTTTGTTTTCTTCTTATTTTTGCTGCAAATCAATAGAGATTTTTATCCATGCTCTATGAAATGCATGTATCCCACCAATTTGTCCATAGCATGTTATTGTGAGACTGAACATGTGAGGAAATATTAATATAGCTTTGATTTGTGCCTTAACGTCACAAGGTCGAGATGAAAAGCTTTAAACTGTGATCCTAAATTATATGTATCAAGTTAACGGAAGGGCTCTGGTACTACACGGTTTATGGAATTAACTTTCCTTAGTTCCCTTCCCATTTACTCCAGAAGTTATACAGAAAAGTTCCCCCATTAAAGGGCTATTTCTTGGTATCAGTTCTTTAAGGCTGCTCAAAGCCCACAAAGCTAGAAAGTACATAGAAATTTTAAATAAAATACTTCCAAAATACTAAATCTGCCAATTAACAGAATGAATCTGGCCTTATTTCTCTTCTAGTCCCAGGTCTCTGGGAGGGGAGGCACTCAAGAGAGCTGGTTAACTAACCCAATTCAAATGTGCAACAGTTGGACAGAGAATGCACAAAAGCTAGTTTGCTGTTCCATGGGGGCAGTAGGAGTCAAGAAAGAGCTGCACAGAGCGGGATCACGCCTCAGTCCGCCCCATCCCACAGACAGGCGCGGTCCTTACCATGTCTCCAGGCTTGACAGAGACGGCCACCACCACACCAGGCATCGGGGAGCGCAGAATACTGCTTGTGTCCTCAGCCACTTTTTCCGGCATAAATTTGTTCAGCTCTGCAGCCAGTTTGGTTAAGATATGCACCTGATACTTAAGGGGGGGGGAGGGAGGAACATAAATGAGTTTAAATGAAGAATTTTCCTCAAATTATCATTCATGCAGAATCCATTTTTAGCTTTGAAATTTAAATGATAACCTTTGAATTCAAATGGTTTTGAATTATTGTACTTAAAAACAAAAATATATTTGTTTCTGGCACATGTTGTGAGCTAATTATTTAAGAAATTTCTTGAAATAACAACTCCAGTAACTAGTGACAAACAGTAGTCACCCTGTCTCATTATAAGAAGTATCTCAAAACTTCGTAAAGAAAGCAATGACAATTTTCCTTGTATTCCCTTCACCGCTTATAAACTTCTCCCAGTTAACAGGAATCCCGTGAGCTGGCTCGGTCAGCCAGAGGGAGAGGGGCGGCTGTGCGAGCACCCGCCAGCAGATGGCAGCAGATCGCTGTCTCACGCTCCCCACTCCCCTCCAGAGCAGCTGTGTCACCAAGAAGTTAAGACAAAGGGTTTCAGTGTTTGGGGCAAAATCATATTTAAAATTCAATATTTTTCTAGAGACACAATATGTTATATTCACTACTGGGACAGTTAGCTTTCTTTTTAGGCACAACGTGAGGTAGCCTTTCCAAGGTACCAGGATGGTTAGGGTAATATTAAGATGATACAGAACGAGTATCTTCTGCACTGAGAGACAATAATATCAAGATTTTAGAACCACTGAAAGTAACGTTGTGCACAAGCAAGTATTTCAATGGAACCTTTTGTAGGTGGCTCTCAAACAATTAGGGGCACACTAAAGGGAGTTCAAACAGAACATTTCTAATAAAAGAGAATTCCTCCCTGGCAGGAAAAAACCCTCCCCATCTCTGCGGACAAAGATAGGAGCCACAGTTTGATCTGTCCAAAAAGAAGCAAACGAAAATGGTTTGAGGAGGTGTTACTCAGGGAAGTTGAAACCACCACCTGAAGATTTTTGGATTCTTACCAGATCACATCTCCCTGGGGTAAGACAGATGAGCATCGAGGCAGCTCCATGTTCCTGGGAAAAAAGCTGCCGTAACTCAAAGCCTCCTGTGGGCATCATGATGGCAGGGATGCGAGAGCAAAACAGAACCCACTCTTTTCGTTTTGGACAGGGATGGGGGCCATCTCCAAGCCTGCTCTTTGCAGGGCCTATTTATTCAAAAGGGTGGGGGAGGGCTCCAGGAGGAGCAGATTGGCCACTGACAGGTTGAATAATAGCATCTTTTGCACGTTTCTTTACTCCTGAGTGTGTGTTTTGCAATCAAGACATACAAGTGTCTGCCAGTTTCTGAAGGATATGATCCTTAAGTGAAATTACAGTGCAAATAAAAGCTTTTTGCTCCTATTAAAATTCATCCGAGTCAGAAGTGGCAAGGGAAAAGCAAGGAGAGTGCATTCTGCTGTCAGTCTAATAAACATTCTGGGCAGAGGGACTATTTATCAACGGTGCATTGTACCTCAAAGTCCTTCATTAAACTATGGGGGAGGTGGTGGACAGCGAAAGAAGGGAGAATATAATTGTACCAAATTGCACGGTTTCCATATCTGTGCTCTGGCTGCTTTAGAAGAGAAAACCCAACATCGCTAGGAGGAGGCGAGTCAACAGGAAAGCCACTTCTCTAGCTGCCTGCACCCTCTGTCGCCCCCTCCATGGGGCTGGCCGGCACACGGCCCAGATGTCCAGCTTCGGTGCAGTACCCAGATGGATTTTTTTCCCCCTTGTTTTTCGGACCCTTTGACTTCAAAATGTTAAGTCGAAATTCAGGGAAAGCATCTTTCTCCACTGAGGATAATATAATTCATCACATTTCACCACAGCGGATAGGCTTAAAAACTAATTTTAGCTATATCACAAACAAGCTTTAATATAAATAAAGAGCTAAGACTGTACCCAGCTCCATTTCTCCCCAGAAATTACAAGATCCTGCCTAAAACTGGATCCTTTTACTATTTTTATAATTTTCATATCTTTTGAATTCCTTTCTCTGTAGGACTCCTGCTTTGCTTGGAAAGAGATGTAAAACAGTCACAAAACTCAACGCCTTTAGATGCAGTCTTTGTTATTGATGAGATGTTCCTTTTCCTTTTGTATTTGTTTATTGTTCTTAAATCTGTTTGGGGGATAAGCGACTTATTGTAATCACAAGTGAAAAATAACAACGGGGTAAATGCCTCGGGAGAGGCCTCGGTGCAAATAGTTGGCTAAGAAACGACCTTTCTGAATAATAAAAGAGGAGGCAGCAAGAAGGTTCTCTTTTTAAGATTACCTTTGATGTTGTCCTGACCCCTTCAGCGTGCCCACACAAACAGGCCTCTTAAAACAACGGTTTGGCTCTGGGCTCCCCCGCGCGGTGGCCCACGGGGCACCGGCTGGGTGGGACGCGAGCGGTACGGCATCTGGGCCCAGCAGAATGAACTGCCTGGTGAGAATCAGAAGAGCTTTTTGATGCCCCCAGAAAAGAAGTCATTTAAGAGTGTACACTAAGGCTTTCGGAGCTTATGATCAAAACTGCTATTTACTGGTTTCTCTGAATTCTTAGGGGGCACGGGCAGAGCAGCCAAAGCTGAGAGAATTCGGGAAAATGCCCTAGGACGCGCGCATAGTTGGGGTTTTACTCTAGGCATTTAACTATTCCTAATGGGTTCTGCAGAACTTCCCCAGAGAGGTTCAATTTTAAGTTGTTGTGACTGTTTGCAAGCACGGAAACCACAAACTCGAGGTTTTGGGGGTGGGAGTCCCAAGATTTTAAAGGTTAGTTGACAGGACACGGAAGTCCAATCCTCTAGGAGGCCAGAAGGCTCTCACCCTGCAAGGTCAGGAGGGATTAGACACTACTCGGTGGCGGGGCCTGAGGGGGACTCCCTCTGGGTTCATCAGGAGATGGAGCCTCACTGTGGCTTTAGGGAGGTGCTCCTAAACCACAGGCAAATGATCAAGTTCTTGAAAAACAAAGCTCACAGTGCAAGCGCACACCAGAACAGGTGCTCTCCAGGACTCCGTGCAGGACAATAATGGGAAGGAATGAGGTGCTTTCTCATGACCCCAGCCCGGGTCTCTAAGCAAATCAATTGTATGGTGTCTGCAACGTAAAACCATGTCTAACAAGAAAATTTCTCCCAACAAGCTCAAAAGAAGAAAGAGAAGGGAATCACACCAGACATAAAAGGATCAGGATGAAAACTACGAGAAATGGACGATTGAAAGGGACACAGTGGAATTGTTTTAAAAATTAACATGCAGCTCTTAACATGGAACCTGACAAAAGGGGGAAAGGGTGGGGGGCAGGGAGCTGTGCGAGTAGCGGGAGAAGGAGGGAGCGGTCACGGTTTGGGAGGGATATATGCTTTTTGATCAGAATGGTTAAGGAAAACACCGGCAAATGGGCCCGCCGCCCACCGGTACCAGGCACGCACACGTGCGCACACACACACGCACGGCTCCATGGGCCATGGACAGGAGGGCAGCCCTCACTATGAACATGCCCCACACTCAGGTGGTCACACAGAACACCTTGCTGCTGGCCTCTGCATCTCCCCGGGGAGCTTAAATCTCGAACCCCTGAGGTCTCCCAATTTCCCAGCGACTTGACACAACCCGCGTGCTCGCACCTGCATGATTCCAAGGTCTGTGGGCTCCTTGCAAGATGAGTGCTTGCAGTTTGCTTTATGTGTATTTTCAGCTGTGATTTACTCCGCAAGGAGCTCACCTCTGGTTTCCATTTCTATGTCATTCTTCCAAAACAACGAGGAGTTGATGTACAGTTGCTGAACTGCTAGTGTTCTTGCCTGGCAACTGCGGGCCATCTCGGTCAAGGTTTGTAAATGATGAACTTTACTGGGCATTATTTTACATCGATTCCCTTAACATCCTGAAGCCCTGGTCACATCCTTAACCAACTGAGCCACCCAGGCGCCCCGCCCTGGTCGCATCCTATATATGGACCCTCACCAAGCCAGGTGGCCATGCATTACTCCAGACACAAGGCTCTCTTTTCCCTCTTTAGTTTTCTACCTCCCGACCCCAAGAGTTCCCCACATTCAACTGTGTCTTCATTTCCATAGTGTGGCCACGAGAGCTAACACTCCAATGTGCCCCTGAAAGTCTACTCTCCTAACTCCGAGCTGGAGACCAATTGTCAATGTTCTTAAAGTGACAGAAACGACCCGCTGCAAAACATGCCATGCCTCTAAAAACACTGAGGTGAAGTGAGAATCTTAATTCAACGTTTTTCCCCCCTAAGTTCTTTGCGGGCTACACCATTTACACTGGAGGCCAAACATAGCGAGGGTTCGCTGCCATGCAAAACGTGTTCCCCTCTACTTCAGCATCGGGCCCAGCAAAGCCAACCGGACTGAACTCTCCAGGAAACACAGAGAATTAGAGCCCGGAACTGCCCTTCTCTGGGAGGGATGCCCCCAGCGGAGAAGGTGAAGGGAACAGCGTATACAGCGGCAGCCACTGGGGCGGCCTCTTAGCTGAGCGCGGTGACAACTCCATCCGCACAGTCTCGAGGTAGCTGTCAATCAGGACGCATCATTTAATCCAACAGCACTCGGAGGACTCTCTCCCGACAACCCACATGACAGCAGATCTACAGCTCTATTTATATCAGCGCCCAGTTGTGTTTACAATGCGGTGGCAATTAGAAAAGATGCAACAGGCAGCAATATTATGGAGATTTCCATTTTGCAGTACTGCCCCGTAAAGTGTGATCCTGCTTCACAGAGTCAGGCTAAATGACAAAAGGCTATTTTCTTCACTCTCCCAGCTCAGACAGCACTTCATTTGCAGCTATCTATAATTAGATTAATGGTGTAGCGCAGTACAAAGCAGGCCCACTTCACATCAGATAGCATATGAATTAGGACAAACACTTATTTCAATTCCAGGCAGAGAAAGCAATGACTGGGGTATTTAGCATACCCTTTATGGTGGAATGAGATGTTAATTGTGTACCATTACCTCTAAACTGCTTGCTTGTTGTATAAATCACTGTGCTA